ACTTCGCTCATTTCCTGGACTCAAGTCCGACTAATATGAAAATTAACCGGTTTCCTGAATCCCTTCACCTAAATATTACCCTGCCTCACACTCCAACAGATCGTCAGGTCCCAAGTATCATTCGTCTCATTCACTCCAAATTAAACACGTCTCACACACGCTTGCTGGAATGTCCAAGCCCATCGCCCACAAAAACCTCTATTACCCCCTCCTCTCCAACCTTTTCGAGGCGACCCCTTACCATTTCCTTACTTTCCCTATAGACCAAAAAAATTTATTATGCTTTCCAATGTCATTCTACTTTGATCCATTCGTCTCTAAATGACCAAACCACCCTAACGACCCCTCTTCTGCCCACTCTCTGACTAATGCTATTATAACTCCACACCCTTCTCCTAAATTTCCACATCTCTGAATTTTCATGCATAATATTTTCACCACACATTGCCCCTTAGACAGGACATCTCACTGACTCAACCATCTCCTCGCTGCCTGCATTTACCACCCAAGCTTCACTTCCATTTAAGGAGTGTCGGTACCACTATATTTCTACATTCCTTCTTGCCTACTTAGATAAAAAAATAAAAGTCACGTTTTTTTTGACTCCACATGTACTCCAACGCACACTCACCTTTCTCCCTCATCAATTCTATGATTACCCTCATCCTTCATAAAATCCATCCGCCGACACGTTCAAACTCCCAAGTATCTGAAACATTCATTTCTTCCATACTCCTCCTCCCCGTTTTGTTATCCAATTTTTCTATATCTAGATCATTTGATACCCCCATCACCTTACTTTTTTCTATGTTCACTTTCAACTTTTCCTTTTACACACATTCCCAAACTCATCCACTAACCTTTGCAATTTCTCCCTAAGCACAGTATCATCAGCAAAAAAGAAAACTGTGTTCAAATCCCATTTTGAATTTGATTCCCCATAATTTAATCCCACCCTCTCCGAAACACCCTAGCATTTACTCTTTTACAACCCCATTACATATAAATATATTAAGCAACCATGGTAGACATTAACATCCTGTCTAAGACTACTTTTTTTACCGGCAGTGTAAATTTTTCTCCCTTCTTTACCACCATAACCAGAGCTCACTATCCTCATAAAATTCTTAACGGCATTTAGAAACTTCCCACATTCACTATACTTGCACCATCTGCCCCATTGCTCCTCTATCCACTCCTATCATATGCCTTTTCTAAGTCCCATAATGCAATAAAAACTTCCCTACCTTTATCTAAATACTGTTCACATATATGCTTCAATGTAAACACTTGATCTACACATCCTCTACCCACTCTGAAGCCTCCCTGCTCATCTGCAATCCTACATTAATAATACAGTGTAATAATAATAATGAATGAGCTTCAGTTCCTAAAATTAAGAATAATAATAATAATTTATTATTGTAATAATTAATAAACAATGGAGCTTCAGAACACCGCCACTAGTTGGCGCAGCGCTCTGATTTACCTCACCGTGGAAGCATTTCTCTCGTGCTTTGCTTGCATTTTCTAGTTATTTTGCCAATTTTTTTTTTCTAACCGTGAGTCCTAAGAAAGTAAGTGCAAAGGACAGTGCTGAGAAGAAAAAGAGAATGATTTCCATGGAATTAAAGCATGGAAATCATAGATAACAATGAGGTGAGGGAGGCAGTGTTGTGGAGTTGAGGGGGTAGATGGGGAAGCTCGCTCACAGTTAAGTTCACCGATAAAGTGTAGCAAGTGAGTTAAGCGATTAAGCAATAGAAAAAGGACGAAATGAAGCTAATTCCTCCAATGTTGTTGTTTGGGTTTATAGGGCCATTGACAGCATACGCTGCTGTGTATTGTTATTCTTCCACCCTCAACCTCTGCCACTGATCTCTTCCCAGGTCTTATTGTAAAATATGTTTATACACTTTATAAAATCAGTTTATTTCTTTACATTCTCTTTTATGTTTTTATACAATATTTCTTATATATATATACAGTGGTCCCTCGTTTTTTGTAATTAATCCGTTCCTGGAGGAGCTACTATAAACGAAATTTACGATTTGCGAATCAATTTTCTCCATAAGAAATAATGTAAATACAATTAATCCGTTCCTGACACCCGAAGTAATAAAACAAAAAAAATTTTTTACGATTGGAATAGTACATGTTTTACATAAAACAATACAATGGGAAATGATGATTGCAACATTAACAGCATTAACACTTACCTTTTATTGGAGATTCTTCTTAGTTGTATGGAGATTGAGGAGGAGAGAGGTGAGAGTGGATTGTTTATTGTTTGGAAGGGGATCCCCTTCTAGCAACACCTCAGGTACCAATTGTTTTCTGGGGTTGTTTGTCTTCTCTGTTTCTTAATGCTCTAGGACCACCTTGAGAGTCACTGGAGTCCTGTCTCGCAAAATAAACCTTGTGGAGAGAGCTCTGTTTCTGGCCGTCCTTTAACACTTCTCCCTAAAATGGCCCAAGGACTGTACTGTAATGTTGAAAAAAATGGCTTGCAACAACCTTGTTAGGGTGATGTTTCTCCATAAAGCTTTCCATTCTTACCCCAATAGTTAAAAATCTCTTTAATTTCTGAGAAGGCACCTTTCTTCCATCTCTTTCCTCCTCTCTGCCACCAAGATTCTGAGCTGCGATGTGTTGCTCTTCCTGCTGAGCCTTGCAGCTCCTCAGTGGTGAGCTCTTCATTGTGGTTTCCACCAATCTTCCACATTCCTCCAACTCACATCCACCCCATGGAACTCCCAGTGCCACAATTGGGATTTTACAACAGACAGAGGCTCAGTCCCAAAAACCCTGCAAAATCCCTCTTGTCGACACACTCTGGCCACAATTTCTCCAGGCAGAGTTCAAAGTCCCGGTAGTCACTCACCTCCCAAGCCATACTATACGGGTTATGCAATGGAGGATGCTTGGAAGTGTTCTCTCCATAATTCCCTTAGGGTCATGTGAGCTGTCTGTGGTCACAGTCAAGCATTGTGAAACATTGTTTTGTGTAGAGTTTTTTCAGTTTGCAATGAACTGCTGGTCCTTGGGCTGGAGGAGAGGCGAGTGGTATTTGGGGGGCAAGAACCTTTACTGTGATGAACCCAAACATCCTCGAAAAATTAGGTCATCCAAGTTTGGAGGATGAGCAGGTTGCATTGTCCCATTATAGCAGGGCACTTGAGAATCCAATTTCTTTTCCAGGAGATACTCATTCCACATAGGGCCAAAGCTTTCATTGAACCACTCGTCGAAAATTTCCTCGTGACTCATGCCTTACTATTAGATTCAAACACACACAATTTACTCGTCATAACATTGTTTTTCCTGACACTCTGGAATTTTCAGAATCCGGAATTTTCAGCAATGGTACACTGTAATGGCTTCCACTTTGAAATCCCCACTAGCATTAGCACAGAAACATTAGCATGCAGCTGTCTTTCATAGGTTGTGTCCTGGCATTGCCTTTTTTTCCTCTTGTGTAATGAAATGTCCTCTTTGCATTTTCTTCAAAAAGAGGCCCTGTTTCATCACAATTTGAACACTTGTTCAGGTTTTCAGTCCTTCAGCCTCTACATGTACTCCTGGAAATTCATGCAATATTTTTTCAGCCGCCTTGTGGTCCGACTGGCAGCCTCACCATGCTCTTACCACACTGTGTATGCCAGTACGGGGGTTCTTAAATCTCTCAAACCAGCCTTTGCTGGCCTGTAAATTCCACTCACATCTCACTATTTGCAGGCAATTTCTTTACCAAAATCGTCATGCAACTGCTAGCCTTTTTCAACAAATAATCAAAGTCATAAGAATATTCCTAGCTAATTGTTTTCTCATTTATCCACACAATAATAATTCTCAACCTCTTCGAGTATGGTGATCTCATTTTTTGTCAGCATAGTTACCCCCCCTTTGCACCAACAAGCATCCTTGATTTTTCCTTTTTCTTGGCCACTAGGGAATATTAAGGTTGTGTAGGTTTCTTATAATTCCTGCCCAGTTTGGCTACACTTGTACCACCTTTCATATTGTTCAGTGATGGGTTTTCTAAAAAATTTAATCGTTATTTCTCACCTTTCTTTACCACAGGCTTGGCACTAGGGAGCTTTCTTTGGAGCCTGGTAGCTTGAAGTATTTGCAAGCACTAAATAGAAATGGAATATTATGAAATATTTCGCTGGAGCATGCGAGGGGACCTTCGCTCACTGGTAAACAATGCCCAGACTGGCTCGTCACGGGCTCACGCCGTGGGTTACGGTCCAGGACGCATTATGACTCAGTGTCGACTGATGAAAACTGGAGTCCAGTTATACGAAAATACCCCTATGATTGGCGAAATTTACGATTGCCGGGAACTACGAAAAGCGAGGGACCACTGTACATTGTTTCAGTGTTTTCCTTATGAAACTAGTGATCTAGTGCAGTTAGCCTCACAAACACTCCATTTTCTCTTGTAATAAGAACGGGAAGCTTTGGTGGAAGCAGGAGTGGGAATGGCTACCACCACTAGTCACATAATGACATATTTTGTTCATTCTAGAGTATATATCATGTTTCTATATTATTTATATTGTTTATTATGTCAGATGAATTGTGATAGATAAATAAGCCGTAGAGTTGATATTAGTGTCATATTGAAGTATTTTGTCCTGCCTCCCGAGAGCAGGAATTCCGCAGGAACGGATGAATGGCATTTCAGTTAATTTAAATGAGGAAAATTGATTTGATATACGTATGAGCAAACTGAGTTACGAGCTAGGCCATGGAATGAATTAAACTCATAAGTTGAGCTTCCTATATATTTTGCCCTTGTGCTCGACCTCAGTGCACACACTTTTTCTTTCTCTGCTGTCTGCTATTCCCATGCTTTGCAGTGCTCTTTGACTCACGTGGGTTTAGCACTTTCCCTTTAATAATAATTTTAGGGGTTTATCTATTCTAATGTTTTTCCACATTGGCAATGAATTTTACAGGGTGTAAAATATTCTTTTTTCTTTTTTATCCAGGTGGTGGCTTTGGCCGTGGTGGTGGTGGAGGATTTGGCCGAGGTGGTGGACGAGGTGGTAGAGGAGGAGGAGGATTTGGTAGAGGTGGTGGTGGTGGTGGTTTTAAGAGATATTAAAAGTTTGTGATAAATTCGTTTTATCATGATCCTAAGTCTGCATTATGAGTGAATGATAATGAATGTTTCATTTTTTGGGGTCACTCTGCCTTGGGGGGAGAGATGGCTGATTAAGAAAAAACTGTGCTGTGAATTTATATAGTTTGTAATATACAATTGTTGTAAATTGTATATTTTAAGTTTATTGTCCATGCAAAAACACTCAGGTTTTTATGTCTCTTGCAATACTGTATGTAACGAGTCATTTTATAGTGTTTTTATATAAAATAAACAGTCTATCTTATTGCCTTTTCAAATATCATTTAGACATAAAAATGGATTTCAAGCAAAATATTATATGTGAAATACTACACAAGTTTTCATTATGGTTTAAAGCCATAATGGGAGTTTGGAGGAAGTAAATGTGTTCAGATATTTGGGAGTGGATGAATTGGTGGATGGTTCCATGAGATAGCAAGGGTTAGCTCACTACACAAAGGAGGAGACACAACCAACATAAATAACTACAGAATTATATCTGACCTGCCATTGTTATCCAAAATCTTTGAAAAATTAATCCATAACAGATTATACCCTTTTCTATTGTCACCCAAAAAAATCAAAGTGATTTATTTCCATTGGGGTCCTTTTAATACCTTATTATTATACTGGCCAGGGAGGTACATTTATTTTTTTATTTATTTATTTATTTATTTATTTACAATTTGAGCATACATTCAGAGGTACAAAAAAATACAGATAAGAGCAGCATGCCAAAGCCACTTATACTATGCATAGCATTTCGGGCTGGCTTAAAATTAACTAAGCAATGATGAAATCAGTGATAATACATTATTGTAAACAGATAACTATAAAGCACAAATGAGTATTACAAAGACAGGTCATATGGTTGCATGCATTGTTGTACATTCAGTCGTATGGAGTATTCTGTTAGGTAGTGTATTTAAAAAATAATAAAGTTTTAGGTTTTAGGTTTAACATTTATGTGATATAATTGTGAGAAACATTTAAGATATACAATTTATAAGGTTCAGTTATTCAGTATTTTATTTGGTTTTGGGTGAGTAAGTGATCTTTGAGAAGAGACTTGAATTTATAAACAGGTAGTGTTTCTTTTATATTTACAGGTAATGAATTCCAGATTTTAGGGCCTTTTTATGTGCATTGGTTTTTGCATAGTGTGAGATGGACACGAGGAACATCAAAGAGTGATCGTGCCTTGTGTTATGGTCATGTGTTTTTGTTGAGGTTGGCAAGGAGATGTTTGAGGGGGAGAGTTAAGTGTTCTATGTATGTAATAGGTGCAATAATAAGTATGGATGTTTTGTATGGTGAGTAGGTTTTTGTGTATTGAATATTGGTGGAGTGTGCTGCCTGTAGTGAGAATTTGTTATCATTTAACTGCAGCCTTTTGTTTGGGTAATTAGTGGTCTGAGATGGTTAATTGTTGTTGAGCCCCATGCACAAATTCCATAGGTGAGATAGGGGTAAATAAGAGAGTGATATAGGGCCAGGAGGGCTGACTGTGGAACATAGTACCGTATCTTCGATAGTATGCCTACAGTCTTGGAAATTTTCTTAGAAATTTGTTGTATATGTGTATGAAATTTGAGTCTATTATCAAGGTGGATTCCTAAGAATTTTCCCTCTGTTAGCTTTGTGATAGGTGATCCGTTTATCATTATGTTAAGAGGGACATCTGTAGCTCTGTTACCAAACTGAATGAAGTAGGTTTTGTCACTGTTTAGTGTAAGTTTGTTAGTCCTCATCCAGGTACATGTAGATATTTTCTGTAATTCGGTGTTTACAGTATTGGCTAGCGTGACTGGGCTCGGGTGAGAGAAGACATATGTAGTGTCATCTGCAAATAGTGTGGGTTTGAGTAATTGCGAAGCATTTGGAAGGTCATTTATGTATAGGAGAAAGAGAAGAGGGCCAAGGACACTTCCCTGTGGGACACCAACTGTAATTGGTTGCGCAGAAGAGTTTGCCCCATTTGCGTACACATTTTGGGCTTCTGTTGCTGAGGTATGAACTTGAGGTAGTTGAGGAGTGCCCTCTTATACCATAGTGTGACAATTTTACGTGGAGCAAGTCTTGGTCAACTGTATCAAAAGCTTTACGTAAGTCAATGAAGATCCCCAGTGGGACTTCTTTTTCTCTATTTGCAGTGTTTACATGTATATGTTCTAGCAGTGTATAATAGCATCATTAGTATTTTTATTAGGCCTGAATCCAAATTGGCAGGGGTTGAGTATGTTTTGGGAGATAAGGTAGTGATTCGTTTATGAATTTAAATTTTTTGAAGATTTTGAAGGGGGGGTGTAAGTTGGTTTTTGGCCCATAGTTATTCAACTCTGTTTGGTTTCCCCCTTTTTTGGATCGGGGTGACCCTTGCTATTTTGAGTACTGTAGGGGAAAGGGGAGGATTCTATGGATTTGTTAAAGAGGGGTTGCAATGATTGGTGATAGCACTTGTGGGCAGTTTTTGTATATAAAGAGTGGTAAGGTATTTAAAACTCCTGCCTTGTTTTGTAGTGCGTTGATAATAAGGGAGACTTCGTATGGGTTAGTCGGAGCTAGAAACAGTTTTGTTCGGGGGAGTTGCCCGGGGAGGTAGTCATTTGGTGGGGTATCTGAGCTTGGGATTTTATTGGCAAGGTTTTGCCCTATATTTGGAGAAAAATTTAAATCATTGAGTCTTTTTTGCGGGTTTCTATTGGGGGGAAATTTGGGGGTTTTCATCTGATTTTGTTTAATTTTATTTCGCATTGTGAAAATATTTTTTTTTCCCAGAATTTCTGTAGGGTTTTCCAGGTCTTTTTATTCACCTCAAAAGTTGGAAAATTTGTTCTCAAAATAAAAATTTTTTTCCCCTTCTTATCGGGGTTGGTTAGGTTTGGGGGTAACGTTTTTTTTGGGGCCGGGGTTTTATGTGCCCCCCATTCTGTTTTTTTTTTCTTATTGGTGTTTTGTATTTATGGATTTGTAAAATGCGGGGTGTTAGGGGGGGGACTTTTCCCATTTCCTTAGTGTAAATCTGTTTATTTTTTTTGGGGGCAGGGCTTGTTATAGGGGTTTATTGGGTCTTTTTTAAAAAATTATTAATACTTTTCGTCAATATTTTGGTATGGATTTTTGGCTCAGTGTGCCAATCAATGTTTGCTATGCTGTTGGGGAAGTTATTTTTTGGCGGGCCCTCTTTGTAAATTTAAAAAGGTGATTTTTAGTGTGTCTTGGGGTAGTTTTAACCAAGGGGGTTGTTTTTGAAAAAAAGTGGGGTTAGTGGTCTGTGGTTTTTCCGGTAATTATGCCTGATTTTTAAAGGGGAATATGGTGTTGGCCCAGATGGGGGGAAAGTAGGGAAACACTAGTTCCCCTGTAACCCCTTGTGGGTTTTTGTTTTTTGTTGGTAGAAAACATACAGTTACCATTGTTTTTGTGAAATTCAGTAGAACGGTGGGGGTCTGGTTTTGCAGGAGATTTATATTGAAGTCCCCCTTGAGAGTGTAAGTGATCTTTGTTCATGCATGCTTTCAGTTATCATACTTCCTGGGTTTTTGACAAAAATTGGCTAATTTTTTTGACTGTGGAACTCTGAAGATGTTTATAAATGTGAGAGGTTTTTGTGGTTTTTGGTTTTTGGAATTTTTTTTTATATTTTCCCCCATGTTCTCCCTTGTAAAAGGGTATTATTTGATACATTTATTTGGGTTTGTGGATTTATAGGCTGTCCCACCCCCTTGTTGGTCGGGGCCTACAGTTGTGTATGGCTGTGTAACCAGGAAAAGGGAAAAAGGGGCTCTGTACTATCAGGCTTTTGCAGGTTTCGTTAGTGTAAAGATGGGAAAATATTGGGATGTAAGGAATTTAGGGAATGTAGGGGTCATCGTTTTAAAGCTTGCTTAAAGATTGATATTGTATTAAAAATAGTTATGGTTTTTTGGCATGAGAAATGCCTTTTATTGTTTGCAGTGGAGTAATTACAGTAAATGTTTGGGTTCATTTAAGTCATTTAAAAAGAGGTTTGGTTTTAGGTCAAAAGCTTGTAATCATAAGTTTGTAGTGAAACTATAGTTTAAAAAATTTAAATATTAAAAAAAAGGTAAATAGTCTTAAGCTAAAAAATAGACCTGAATTTTTTTAACAAAGTAAATAATGACTAAGGTGTTTTTTTTGTTTTTTTTTTTAAAGCTAAAATAAAGGAGACAATATAAAAGGGAATAATTTCAAAAAAAATTTATGATCAAATAATGGAGCTTGGGGAAAATGATAGTTGGTTGGATATAAAGGTCATTTTTTTTAAAATTAGAATTTAAATATAAAATTATAATATAAAAGGGGGCTAATATAGGTTGTGGTGAACAATAAAATGGTAATTTAAATAAATGGCTTTGGGAAAATTTAAAGGCAAAATGTGAATTATTTACTTTTGCACCGGGGAATAGCACCTTGTTTTTTTTTCAATTGTGAATTTTAAAACTAGGGTTTGGATATTAAAACTAAAATAAAAAGGGGAAAAAAAAAATAAGGGACCCAAAATTAAGTAATGGTAAACAAAAATTTAAAAGGACAGATGGTTTGGAATTATAATATAAACTTATAATATAAAAAAAACAATTTTGAAATGGGGACTTGCAAGTGCACAAAAGTCCCTTTTTTAGGTTGTTGACAAGATCAAGATTATAACTAGATTTAAAATTTATAAAAAAAAAATTTACAATTTAAAAATACAAAGTATTAAAATTTTTTAGGGGGTGGAAAAAAGGCGGATGTGAGGGGTGGGGGGAGGTTGCATGAGGCATTACGTGTTGGAAAAGGGGGGTAAAGCAGCAGGGAAAATGACGGGTTCATGACAGAAATGTTTAAAAAAAGGGGGGGTTTTTGTGTTGGGAAAAGGTTGGGTTTTTTTTTTAATTTAAAAGTATGGGAAAAAGGGGAAGGATCTTGGGGGTTGGCAGGGGCGTTAAATTTCCCTTTTTTAAAGGGAAGGGGCAAAAGAGATTGTAAATTTTATAGGGAAAAAAAATTTACTGAGTATACCGGGAAAAAGTGGGACGGGAGCGTTTTTATTGAAAGAATTTGAGATAAGCAGAAGTAAAGGGTTTTGGATTAGCAAAGGAGGTTTTAGAGTGTGGGTAGGGGATTTTGAATAAGTTTTTACATTAAAGCAATTTATATATGAACGTATTTAGATAAAGGTGGGAAGTTTTCATTGTATTTGTTTTCCTTTTGTTCAATGTTCTTTTTTAAACAAAAATGTAATGATAAAAAACAGGATATCCATTTAGTTCCTAAAAGGATTTATCCCCATATAAAAAAAATTTTTTTTCTACCTAAAGCTATCAGTCAACAACTTCATTTAATAAAATTTTATTAATTTTATGAATCATGATGCACAAATTCGGCCTTTAAGTAAACCATTATTATTACATTCAAAATGACCTAAACCCCAGGGGGTCATACAGATAAGGTAAAAAGTTAATGGTAACGTTATCACCGTACATGGACCCTGATGTTTTGGGGGGGTTTAGCGTGGACGGTTACAAAGCAGGGTTTGTTTCTGCGTGTTTTTAAAAAAATTGAGGTTGGAGATTTGAAGGGGGGGGTCTTGTTC